ATCCTATTTGGCTCTCTAATCTATTGATGGACCACTGCTGATTTAGGATCAGTTGCTGAAGCTACATGAATTGGTCATCTATTGTACGGGTCTGAGGAGGTTGAGGGTAAGCCTGAAACGGTTGGGCCGGTTGGTTCGTAGGATACATCTGCTAGAATTGGGTCTGCCCTTGTGGCCTTTGAAATTGTTGGGCCATGAAGATAGATGAATGGTAATACTATTGGAACTGTGTATAGGTTTGACATGGTTGAGCTGGTTAAGTCCCAGGGTAATCATTGTACTCCTAGTGGGTCTGGCCTTCAGACCATTGAGAGTGCACATCTGGCAGGGGGATTTCTTGGGCTTGGGCCCTGTAAGTGAAGTTGGGTTGATTTTTCGACCCAGGGTTATATGGACTAAAGAATGAGTTAGCATTAGGTTGGAAAGATCTATTGGCCTCATGTACTTGGTTTGGAATGACTAGTTGACATAGGCCCACCGCAAGGCACTAGCTAACATGATGGGTCAGACTTGCATAGATGGAACATGATGCATAGGATGACGAGGTTGGGTATGGGCCTCTTTGTTGATGATATGCAAGGACTTGGTCAATTTTGTAGGCCATCCCATTAATCTTGTCTAGTTGTCGAGACCCATGGTTCCAATCTATCTGTGGCTCAGGTGGGAAGTAGTTTCTCATTTTTAATTTTTTTTTTATTTTTGATTTTCTTTTTTTAAATCAAAATTTAAATTTTTGAAATTTAGATTCAAATTCAGATTTTGAAATTTAAATTCCTAAAATTTAAATTCAATTTTGAATTTTTAATAAAAAAAATGCAAGCAAATCAACCACACGACCTAGGGCTGACCTAGGGTTTCCTAAACTAGTGGTTCAAGCAATGTGAATCCTCTTCGGTTCACCTGGAATTACACCACTTCCTTTGGATAGCCCGGTAAAAGGTGGAGATGTGGGAGGCTCCTCTTGCTCTCGCAAGGACCTAATTAAGTAACCACAAAACCTGCTTAGGCGTAGCCGTTTAACTTCTTTCCTTAGACACCAACCGCCGGTTATGGAAAGTAATTACAAACTTCCCTAAAATTCAACACACCTTTGAACCAAATGTGAGGCTTCCCTAAAGGATCTTGCAATCCAAATTTTTAATTAGGGTAGGGTGAACCGCACGTGAAGGGTGGTGATTTTTGGGCCAAGGAAGGGTGATGAAATCCCCACCTTATCTTATTTAAGTTCGATGCCCTTAAAATGGATTAACTGAAAGAATCAACATAAACAAAGCAAATGCAACTAACTAGAATGCATGAACAATTATTTCTAAAATGCAATTCAGCAATATAACATAAAATAATAAAGTAAACTAAGCACAAGAAGCAATTAAAATAAAAAAGGAACCTAGCACATTCACAACTAACACAATAATTCAGCAATTAAATAAACCTAAACGATGCATGCTCTAGAACATGAAACCCTAAATGTTGGAATGCAAAAATTAGATGATTTTTTTTTTTTGATTTTTTGACTTTTTTTTTGAAATTCAAAGTTTTAAATTTAAATTTCGAAATTTGAAACTCAAATTCAGATCTGAATTTAAATTTAAACTTAAATTTAAATTTGAAATTTAAATTCAAAATTTGAAAATTTGGACAAATTCCTTTTTTAACAATTGATTATTCAATTAAAGCACTAATAAAAAGGAAATTAAATAAGGCAACAAATAATTATAACAACCAGAAAATAAACGAGATAATTATGCTAAAAATATTAACAACTACCAAAATAAAATCTAACAAGAAAATTGCTATTGTAGAAATTAAACCGAAAATAAAATAAATAAAAGAAAACTATTCAACAATAAATAAAATAAAATAAATGATTTTTTTTTCTATTTTTTTGAATAAGAAATTAAAATAAAGAAAGAAAAGTAGATCTGGAAACAAAATGGAACAAAAATAATACTAAAAAAATAAATCAAATCTAACAAAAAAAATAATTAAAAAAATCAAAAATCACTATTCAACCGAAAAAAAAGAGTTCAAAAGTAAAAATAAAAAAATCAAAAATAAAATGGGACAACTACACCTGAAACGCAATCCAATTAATCTTTTCTTTTCTTCTCTCCTATAGTCCCACTATGCTCCGGTACCCCACCTTTCGCTCGTCCTGTAGAATCAAAGAGAAAAAAGAATAAAACTGAGATAACGGATCAAGTAATAAAATGAAAAAGAAAAAATAATGAAACATATCCGGACAAAGCAAATAAAAATTTTTCTCCATGCTTCCCTAACAACGGCACCAAAAACTTGGTGTCGTCCGGAGGGTATTGTTAAACACTTCGGAACACCAGTTTTGTTAGATAGTTTTGTATGCCCTTAGCTTCAATCCGATTTGATGTACTTTTGTTATTTAGTGGAAATAAATAAAGTGCATGTTCGATTCATGTTGTTTGGTTTAATTCTGTGTAAGACCCTAAAACTGGACACTTATAGCGACTCGTGTTAGTTTTAAATAATCACAGCCGTTGGATAAGTCTAGGGAGGTTTATCCTGCCAAGGCTGATACTGGTGTGCCACCAAGTGTTGGGATGGTTTGTCTCAGCCACTAGGGTAAGACCCATGGCACATATAGTATGGGATTACTTGAATCCTTGAACCGGACCAGATTTCCAGTATTGCCCTGGACCTTGGAGATAGATGGGCAAAATTGGAAAGTTACACCTGACCCCTAGACTCGATTATGACATTTCACTAGGTGT